TTTTCATTTCTATATCCTTCTACTACAGCGATTGCAACCCTTTTTTTTTTAAGCAGAACTTTTTTCTAAGTGGTTAAATTAAACAAAAAAAGAACTCCATGTCATCCCAGGTATCACCACCACCCACTCTCCCTGCCCCCAAACTTCTGAGAGCACCTTTTGAAAACTGAACTGACAGCAGCTGGCACAAATCCTGATGTTCAATAGGTGCTCTGGAAGTGTTTGTTGAATGACTAAATGATCGAATGAGTCCTGTTAGGAAACCAGAAGTGAGTGTTTTTCTGAGCGCTTCAGCTGATTTCACTCACGGTCACTCAACAATCACGTTTGGAGAAAAAAGATTCTATTTCTGCTCAAAGGTGTGTTCATTTAAGGTGTGAGAAAACAAGGCATTGGGGCTTGGCAAAGATAATGAATGTCTCAGGCCCATGGTGAGATTATCAGGCAGCCACGAGCAAGGGCCAGAGGAGCAACTTTAGGCTCTGAAAGGAGAAAGAGGGAGAAAAAGACTGGGCACGGTGGCTCACGCCTGTAATCCTAACACTTTGGGAGACCAAGGTGGGCAGATCACTTGAGGTCAGGAGTTCGAGACCAGCCTGGCCATATGGTGAAACCCCGTCTCTACTAAAAATACAAAAATTAGCCAGGTGTGGTAGCACGTGTCTATAATCCCAGCTACTCAGGAGGCTGAGGCATGAGAATCGCTTGAACCCAGGAGGTGGAGGCTGCAGTGAGCTGAGATCGCACCACTGCATTCCAGACTGGGTGTCAGAGTGGGACTCCCTCTCAAAACAAAACAAAGAAAAAGAATAAGAAAAGCAACCCTTACAGGGGAGGCACTAATTGGTAAGGCACTAACTGGCCAGGCACAGTGCTAGGTGCATACATACATGTGATCTTTGTGGAATCCCTTCGAGAGAAAGAGGAGGTCTTCTCTTGGTTTACAAGAGAAACCAAGGTTTACAGATTGGGCACAGTGGCTCATGCCTGTAATCTCAGCACTTTGGGAGGCTGAGGCAGGAGGACTGCTTGAGTCCGGAAGTTCCAGACCAGCCTGAGCAGTATAGCGAGACCCCCATCTCTGCAAATAATTAAAAAATTAGCTGGGCATGGTGGCATGTGCCTGTAGTCTTAGCTACTCAGAAGATTGAGTTGAGAGGATTGCTTGAGCCCAGGATGTCAAGGCTGCACGTCAAGCTATGGGTGACAGCAACACCCTGTCTCAAAAACAAAAAACAAAACAAAAATTTAAAAAAAAAAGGAAAGAAAAAAAGAAACCAAGGCTTGCAGATGTGACTTGCCCCAGGTCCCAGGGCTGGTCAGTGGCAGCGCTGAGATCTGGACATCTGTGTGAAGGTTGCTCACCTAATGCTCCTCTGTCTCCCTGGGACCTTTTCTCTTCCAGGGGCAACTGGATTGGTGAGGCCCCGTACAAGATGGGAAGGCCGTGCTCCGCCTGTCCCCCCAGTTACCAAGGCAGCTGCAATAGCAACATGTGCTTCAATGGGCTGAAATCCAACAAGCTCCCGTGATTCTGAATTTTCTCCGGGCTTTGGTGTGCCGCCAGCTGGGCCTGACCCTCCATGTCCTGCCCTCAAAAAACTGGGTGGAGAAATAATTTCTTCTTTAAAGGAGATGAGTTAGAATTACCCCCTATTTAATTTTCCCTCCTAGATTCCCTTTCTTAAATGTCCAACATGGGTCAAAAGAAAATGACCTCCTTGCCTGCCTTCTTTCCTAGTTGCATCTTTCTTTTCTTGGGTCTCCGGGAAAGAGTCCTGCATCTTTCATTAATTCAGTTCTCAGAGAACCAAGGCTGGAAGGCATAGAACTGGCACCTTAGGATCAGGCATAATGGCTCACACCTATAATCCCAGCATTTTGGGAGGCTGAGGTGGGAGAATCACTTGAGTCCTGGAGTTGGAGAACAGCCTGGAAAGCATGCAATACCCCATCTCTATTTCAAAACAAACAAACAAACAAACAAAAAACCTGGCACCCCAGTTTTGTAACTCTCAGGCTTTGCCAAAACCAAATGACTTTGTCCATCCAATGAAAGGAATTCCACCAGGTGTGGCTGTTCACACCTGTAACCCCAGCATTTTGGGAGGCTGAGGTGGGTGGATCATCTGAGGTCAACAGTTTGAGACCAGCCTGGTCAACACGGTGAAACTCCATCTCTACTAAAAAGACAACAATTAGCCAGGAGTGGTGGCTCTCACCTATAATCCCAGCTACTCGGGAGGCTGAGGCAGGAGAATCGCTTGAACCTGGGAGGCGGAGGTTGCAGTGAGCAGAGATCGAGCCACTGCACTGCAGCCTGGGGACACAGCGAGACTCTGTCTAAAAAAAGGAAGGAAGGAAGGAAGGAAGGAAGGAAGGAAGGAAGGAAGGAGAGAGGGAGGGAAGGAAGGAAGGAAGGAAACCTGCTTTCATTCATTCCATAACAGTCAACCAGTTTCTGGGCAGCCTTTGAGGACTTGTGATTCCCTCCCTGAGTTGGGCGCATTTCAGATCCATGATTTCAAAAAACATTGAAATTGGCTTGTGGACATCCCCCACCCCCCCACTGCATGGTATTGGAGCCACCACAGAGTCTAGGCCCCCCTTTTTACAGATGGGTACACTGAGGCTCAGAGCAGGGTGTAACTTACCCAGAGCTGCACAGCTTGTCTTTGATGGCCAAGGTGGGAGCTCAGTCTCTGACAGCCCCTTCCCACTTCCTGGGCTCTCAGAACTGAGAAGTGAAAACCAAAGTTGGCCTGAGGGGACTCTCTCTGGGCCTTTTTTTCTCTTTCTGTCTCTGCCTCGGTCTCTCTCTTTTGTCTACTGTCCGTTCTATCTCTGCCTGTTTTTGTTTCTGTCTGTGTCTCTGATTCTTTTTCTTCCATATCATCTTACTCTCATTCCAATAAACCATTTCTCCTCTCTCCGCCATCCCACCCAGGGATCATAGCACACAAAAGTCCTTTTGTCTCCAGAGATAGTAAAATCTCCTCCCTCAGACCTTGCCCTGCAGCTGGGGCCCACTCCCTGCCTGTCTGGAGAGCTTCTCCTTTGAAGACCTGGGATGGAAAACAGGCCCTTTTCCGTGGAGTCCCTACATTGTCCTGGATGGAATGAGTTTTCTCATCCTGTGCATGTCACCCCCTCCCATCCCACCCCCCAATAAAGTCTTTTGAGATCCCGTGTAGTGGCTCTTTCTGGTCCCTCCTTCTCTCAGCTCCCAAGAGGGTCAAAAGACAAGGAATGGGAACTGGGTGGGGGAAGATGGGTGAGAGGAAAACCAGCTCAACTGGAAGACCAGGGGAAGGAACTAACAACGCTTTGGGCCCTGCTCTGCAGAAGGCTAGATCAATGCACAAGTGCAGGCACATACACTATTGCTCCATTTTACAGATGAGATAAACGAGGCGTGGAGTGAGTACTAATTTCTAAATGCTGGAAATGAGTGAAATAAGATAATTAAGAGGTCAGGCGTCGTGGCTCATGCCTGTAATCCCAGCATTTTGGGAGGCCAAGGCAGTCAGATAGTTGAGGCCAGGAGTTCGAGGCCAGGAGTTCGAGACCAGTCTGGGCAACACAGTGAAACCCTGTCTCTACTAAAATTACAAAAATTAGCCAAGCATGGTGGGGCACGCCTGTAATCCCAGCTACTCAGGAGGCTGAGACACCAGAATTGCTTGAACC